GGAACACCTAACCTTGGTGAGACTGCTCTTTGCCATTGTGCAGCTCGTAAGAAATATTCAATAGGTGCTCCATAATCGTTTGGTAAAGTTTGTTTCATAGATGGTGAAGGTTCACGAGAGCTTGATGAAGAACTCATTTATAAGCTTTAAAAATAAACGTTCATCCTTTATTCCTCACTGTCGTCCGTAGCTAAGTTATAGTCATCTAATCTTATTATGGGGATGCCATTAGCACGCACCTGAATGGCAAAGCAACAATCCCTCATAAATCCAATAAGTGGCTTTGGTACATTTTCAGTTGCTAGTTCAATAGGTCCTTTAACAGACAATTTGTATGTTATTGGAGCAGTAGATGTTTGACCTTGCTGGAAGCAAAAGTCCACTTCTGTTGGAAAACCACATAAGAAATGTGTGTTGTCATAGCTATCCCATTTATGTTCCACACTACCATCATCCACCAATGACCTCATAACATCTTCATTAAATCCTATCATATCATTGTTTGTATTGCAAGCGTTCGCAACCATTTCATAAAATACAGGTCCATATGATTTTTCAGGTTCTGCAGGCATATTTCCATAAGCTCCCATGGAAAGCTGAAGATATTTAAACTTAGGGTTCTCAAAATTAACATAATAGTTGTCTTTCTTTCTAAATAGTGCCCAAATACTTTTAACATTAATAGGCGTATAAGCTGCTGTAAATGTTGCACTTGAACTATCTGTATTCTTTGAGAATGAACCGTCCATAGGAATCCAATCCATAACTTTAACAGGAAAACATAAAGCCTCGTTTGTATAATGTTCTACAAGTTCTGTATAAATGTTAGGGTCTAAAGAGAATGACTTTGGATGAATGAAACATTCATTAAAATCCATCTTTGTTCGAAATAGTTGCTGGGTTACAGTTGTAATAGTAACTGTTCCACTAGCTTCTACTGCCTTCGTTATCATAGTGAATGGTTCATTCCATGGAACAAATTTATTTGTCGGTGGATTTGAATCTGAAGCAAATGCAACTTTAAGAGTTGGATTGAAAGCAATGATATCATTTACAGATATAGATGTGCATTGTAAGGCGTCGCTACTGAACTTTACTTTAAGCTGAATGTTTCCTGCAAAAGCTGGAATAAATCGAATAGCTTCTAATGGAAAATTTCTAACAGGAATTCTTAAACGAAGCTTAAAATCAAATGATTTTCCTGCTGTAATTGGACCACTAACAATTTGTCCTGTTCTGCATGTTCCCGAATGACTCCATACATCTTCATGTCGAGTCTTTGAGAAAACATCTACTTTCTTTATTTGTTCGGTAGTTTGTGAGTTTGAAGTTATATATGCTTCTTCTCTTGCGTTGTCTTGAGAATATACGATACGACCATTTGCAAGGATTTGATATCCAGCAACTGCATAGAAAGCGTCATCGAAACCAATCCAAAATCCTGGTGGGTTTGTTTTATTGGAACCTGAACCAATTTCTTTATCTACAATAAATTGACCTTCCATTTTATACGTAATGAATGTATTGTAAAGGTCCAACATATTTTCACCAGGAGGTGAGAGATTGAATGTTACCCATGTGTTATCTTTAGCAGTTCCAGGTTGTGATGGAATCTTTGCGTCAGAATATTTTCTATTAGTGTCACCAATTTGAACTGCATTGTCTATGATATCGAAATATGAGCGAATCTGATGAATATGCTCTGCTGGAGTAAATTCGTTTAGCTGTTCGTTCTGCATGTATTTACTTCAGATAAAAATATCTATTTACTTCATTATTCTCACTCTTCTTCTTGGCATTCGTGGTGGAAGTTGTTTCTTGACATTTTCAATGAACTGTACATTCTCTTTTGTCTCAACTTCTTTCACTGGCGGGTCAGGATTCTTTGACTCGGTTTTTTTTCAATGAAATTCACGAACTTTGCAATAAGCTCTTGGTTCGTTATTGAAAGTACATCTGGCTTTTTTTCTTCTGGTTCTATTGACTTTTCAGTTTGAACAGAAGGTTTTATATGGGCTTCGTGGACTTCACCCTTGCCATACACCTTAATGTTGTCGCTTTCTGCATTCGCTAATGGAACCTTTCTTTTTCTTACGTATATTTTACCATCTTTACTCTGACTTACGTAATAGAAAGGATGTTGTATTCCTCTTGCGTCATTTAATATAATAGACTCTCGCTCTGATTTTGACAAGCTCATTTTACATCGGTTAAAGTTTTAATTTTGTTTTTTATCTGCAGTCAAATGACTCAGACAAGCCCTACGGACAAGACCCAAGGGGTCATAGATGTTGAAGCATTGAAGAAAGAAATTCGTGAGCAAATTTTATCCGAACTGAAGGAACAAAAACAAGAACAAAAGCCAGAGAGACCAAAGAGAAAACTTAGTGAAAAACAACTTGCTGCATTAGCTGCTGGAAGACAGAAGAACCCACGTTTGCTGGCGAAAAAGCTAGAGAAGAAGCTGAAGCAAAAGCTAAAGAAGCTGAAGCAAAGAAAGAGTAAATGGTTTATTTTTATCCGAATTAAATGTATAGACAAATACCTTTATCTGTTGCGTTCAGTAGTGAAAACCCTGACGTCAAAATAAAGGGGAACAGAGTAACGTTTAAGTTTCCAACAGACTGGATTGTGAACATAAATGAAGAGAAGTACATTGGCATAACATCTATGTATATAACACGTGCTTTCAGAAAGGTTGACTTTATACTTCAAGTCGAGATAGAAAATGACGAACAGTCTTTAAGCGCCCAAAACATTCACATATACAAATACTTTAAAGACGATACAACATTGCAACAATGTATGATTTCATTTAATGAGATGTTCGAGAAAAAGTTCAACATTGAAGTACAAACTTTACAGCCTTTACGTGAGTTTCTTGCACAACTGAAAGAAGAAGGTAGTCAGCCACAACTTATAGACTTTCATTATGAATTTAATGAAAATGAAGATGGAACTCATGACTGTCATTCATTGTATTCTCACCATTCAATGAAGTAGCTAAAAGAAAAAAATCCATTACGTATAAGATTTCAAATCTCTGAACCAAGTGATGATTTCAAAAATGTTTTCAATTATGATGCAATGCTTCCGAGGAAAAATGAATTTTCAAAGATTGTAACACCTGGCATTTGGGATAGAAAGCAAGCTATATTATATTCAAACTTAAGTAAGGGAGTTGAAAATGAGTTCATTGGTCATACAAGAACTTCACCACTTCCTAACCCTAAATACTATAAATTAACTGGCTTCAATCGTGAGTTTTGGATAGACATGTTCTCCACTCATGACCATAAGCCCAGTGTTCTTACCTCCAGACCATAAGGACTGTCTCTACATTGAAGCACAACTCTTAAACTCTACCATCGCAGTATTGTAAAATCTACGCTAATTTTATTTTTTTCTGAAAATTTTATTTGAGTGAAAGGCATGGAAGGTGACGGACATTGGCAAACACTCGAACATGACAATGACTATGAAATCTTTTCAGAGTACCCTTATCCAATTAGACGTATAAGCAATAAAAGAGTTGTTAGTGAGTTTGACCAAGGAGATGGTTATATTTGTGTAAATTTAAACAAACACAAGCTGATGAAACATAAAATAGTTGCAGAAATTTTCATTCCGAACCCTGAAGGACTTCGTGAAGTAGACCATATAAACAGAGACAGAGGAGACTTTCATATCTCGAACTTAAGATGGACGACAAGAAGAGAAAACATGAGAAATATTTCCGGTTCAAATGGCTATTGGTTTGACATTGTTGACTCTCTTCCTGAAGACGCTGTTGAAATTATACAATACTCATATCACACGTTAGAGAACTACTACTATGTCCCAAGTGAAGATGCCTTTTACTATTTCATGGGAACTCAATACAGACGAATGAATGTCTTAAGACAGTATAACAAAGATTATATAAACATTACAGATGTAGAAGGAAGAAGAACAAAGCTGTCTATTGCAAAGTTTAAGAGAGACAATGGTTATACATAAATGACAAAAATATATGACCTCATGCTTCGCCCTTGCTAGCGGCTTATTTTTATCACGAATGACCTCATTGCTGACAAAAATAAATGACCTCAGAACTTCAACTTACGAATAAAGCTTGTTTTAGTCGTTATTGAGAAGTTAAACTTCTCTTCAAAGCAAGGGACATGACTTACATAAGTCAAATCCAATCTCTTGACCATCATGAAGTGCTTTGTAAAGTTTCATTAAACTGAACTCAGAGTCTTTGTCATATGTTCCAACAGGTATGTGAATGTTCTTATCTTCATTGTAATAGCATTGTATAGCTTCAGGAAACATTTCATTGCTGTTAAAGCAAGGACGTCTTGTTTGACACCTTTGCAACGTGCATGAATGCAACTTCATTTAAATCATTCGTGAGTAAGTCTATGTAGGTCTTCTTTCCACAAAATATTGACTTGTATGCTAAACTTTGTTTTCCAGGTGTTATTTCTGCGAAGTCAGAATGAAATTGACCAAGGTTCTTTCCTATAAGTTCGCGACCGTATCTCTTCTTAAACTCTGCTGCAAGCTTTGGTATGTCTTCATTGAAAATATGCATGCTATCACAGTCCTGGTAAAATATTTGAAGTCCCATATCTTCAGCAGTACAGAATACTTCACACATTATTCTCTTCGACATAGACAGAATGTTAACACCAAGTGGACAGAAGTTAAAGTGTCTGCAAATGCTTTTCGTTAGCTTGAAAATAGTTTTATCTGAACCATCCAAACCTTCGAACTTCACTATATGGTTGTAGTTTCTGATGGCATATCTTATAGCATCTTTGTCATTTACTATGGTTATTTTTGACTCAATAGGAGATAGAATAGTTTTGCCATAAATACTGTTCAGAATGAGCTTTATATTTTCTTGCAAAGGATTTCCTTCTTTCTTATACTTTAACCTTAACTCAAACAACTTCTTTACTTCATCTCTTATTCTAATATCTCTGTTTCCATCGTAATAGTATCCTTGCAACACTTCACATTTGACACCTTGATATTTTATGAGGTCTTGTAATGTTATATGGTCAACATACATTAAACAGCAAGTGTTTGAACTTCTGGGAACGTTAAGTTCTGGATTTAGTTCAGGGTCACAAACTATTAAAGGAAAGTGTCTATGTATTCCAATCTCTGTTATCTTAATGAGAACAAAGAAGCCAGACATAAACTTTTCACCAATGGGTTCCTTTTGGTCGTCATCGAATAAATGTCTCATGAGATACTCTGTGCTTAACATTTCTTTCTTCATAACCTTTGGAATACCTTCTAAAGTATAAAGTCTTGCTATAGCTGATGGATATAATGAAACAGCGTCGAAGTCAGCAATGAGTTTCTTTTCGCTCTTTTGTTTAATGTTATCTGACAGCATACATCTTCCACCTTGAATACAGCGTGAAATAAATTCTCTTGGTTTATTTGAGAGGTCATATAAATTTCCATTCGGGAAGTACACTCTGTTCTCAAATAATTTGTTAGCAATTGAACAAATACTAACGTAGTCATAAACGTTTAAATCAAATTCTTTCAATATGTCATTGCGGAACTTAACAAAACCTTCTCTTAAAATTCTTACATCTTGTTTGCAATAAAATGTGCTATACTTTTCTAAGTCGAAGTGGTTCTCATCTATTCTGCAACCTTTGATGGAATCTATGTTTTTCATGAATGTATCTGCATCCCGGATAAACTTACATGCTTCAGAAATGACACCAGTTCTGTTGTCATTTGCTAACAAAACACTGCTGTAGTAGTTGTATGGAAATACTTCTTTCGGTCCTGTTTGTAAGTTAAACATAGCAGGAAATAGTTTAAGCTTCTTATTTATAACACTGTAAGAGTCTTTTATAATAATTGCCCTTCCTTTATATAAGCCAGTTATTTGCATTGTTCGTGAACCTTTAATGATGGGAGTTCCTTTCACTTCTGTCATGTGTCTTAAGATGAAGTTTATATCATAACTGAGGTTATGGAAATATATTAAACTCTTGTCAGGAAGTCGCTCCAAAAATTCTGTTGCACAGTTCTGACCCCAAATGCTTTCACTCACTGAACCATCTTCACTGTCGTAACATATGTTAAAAGCTTTATGAAAGCCATCGGTACTGCACTCAAAGTCAGCAAAGAAAACGTGCTCAGGAATGAACTTGCACTTATTTTTATTTACTTCTTTTGACTCGGCTTTCTTCTTCAGTTGTACACAATACTTTGGAGCATATGTCAAATCTTTAAATGGTGCAAGGTTCTGTTTATATAAGTCAGTCGTATATGTGAAAAGTTCTCCATAAGAAATAGGTTCGAAATATTTGCACTCCCACAATGTTTTCATAACATCCCATAACGGTGTTGTTCTATCATAACGAACTACATATTTATCTTCTCTCTTTGTATAAATCTTCATTTGTTTCTCAATGTTCATTCCACCACAACTCCTTCAAGATTTCTATATAGTTGCGAATGAAATATGTTGTCATTGGTAATCTTTCATTTAGCATGTAGTGGTCTTCAACAAGAAGTAAGTCAATAGTTCGAACAGTTTCACATTCTTTTGGTATGTATCTCTTTATTTCATTATGTCTTGAGTCATTGAAATAACCAATGGTAACATTAAATGCTATACCTGTTGCGTCAGAAATTTCTTGTACTTTACTTTGAGGAAAGTCTCTAACACGAATGACTTCTCTCATGTGGTCAATAGTCTCTCCACTACTCCAGCCTGAATGCAAGCATAAACGAAACAATTGTCTTCTGTCATAAGTGTTGCAGTTCTTTTGTTCATTCATTGAAGATTTGGTAGCGCTCAAGATTTATAGGTAATGTGCAAAGATACTTCCAGAACTGACCGCTTCTCTTCTTATAAAACTTCTTTTCACCATTATCTTTCCAAAAGCTTTCTATAAGTGCTGGGTTTCCTGTTTGCTTAAGAGCTTCCAAAATGGCTTTCTGGTCATTTGTCAGTGTGCTTTCATCTCTATATGGTCTCTTTTTTGGTTTGCCTTTCTTTACATCTGACATCGTTAAGCCTTCATATTCTGTTAAATCATACATCTTTATTTCAGTAAGATTCTTTATGTTTGTCAAGAAGAAGTCATAGTGCATTTCAACAATACCTGCAGCATTTGCTTCTATCTCTGATATAAAGTTCTCCTTCAAGAGCTGATGTAGTAATGTTCCAATATTATTGAGGTTTAACGTAGAACATTCATACTTTCCACCAAGTTTATAACATACCATCCATCTCTGTTGGAGTTTATTTTAATTTCTCTAAGAGTCTCATGAAAACCTTACCGAAATGTTTGTGTAAGTAGTCTCTGTTTGGTTCATCTAAAGCTTCGATGTTAAAGTCAATGAGTCTATTGCCTGACTTCACATTTCTCTTCCTATTCTCTTCATCTTTCTTTAACCATCTCTCACCTTCTTTTGGTTTGTCGTCAATGGAACGAATGACATCGTTAGCTTTGCGAACTTGTTCTATAGCGCTCTTAAACATCTCTCTTCTCTGTTGTTTCAGTGTGTCGTCTCTTCTTCTTGTTTCACCAACGTTTGCATTTGTTATGTCAAACATTTCTCTTCTTACTTCATGAGGTACTGAACGTCTATGATATAAGTCAATAGCAACGTCATTTAAAGGAAATGCTCTTGCATGGACTTCGTCCTCGCCGCGTTGCGGCTTTATGAACTCATGAATTCTATCATAACTTATTGCACCATTATAGTCATTGAGGATGTCAGCGAGTGCTTTTTTGTTTGTTGCGTAATGTTTTGCAACATCTATGTTAGCTTCTGTAAGAAGTTGTTTTATTTCCGAGTGTTCTAACTTAGACAACTTCCGATACATCTTTAGTAGGAAATAAAAAAATATTTTTTGAAAAAATTAGATTAGATTTTTTTAAGTTATTTTTCAAAATAATTTAATATTTTTATTTTAATGAAACACATGCAAGATTGCAAGTTCTTTTCATACAATGCTCTCGCTACTGCCATCAAGAATGAGTTCAATAATGCTTCAAATGTTAATGTTATCTTTAACAAGAAGTTTGTGAAAGAATCTAAGTTTGGTCAGTATGTCAGACCATTAGCTATCGTCATTGACCGCAAACGTTATACTTCACAAGAGTTAGCAGTAGTTTTGAAACAAAAGAGTTTCTTCGTGAATGTCAAAGATACTCATTATACTGTCATAAAGAACTCTAACATTGACTTCTTCAGTATTGCTTTAAATCTTTCCGAACAGAAAGAATATAAGAAGGGTGAAACAAATGTGAAATATTATCCTTCATCTCTGAAGACAATAACGAACAAAGATGTTATACAGAAATTCTTACCAAAGGTTGAAGAAGCTTCTATTGACATTGACGAAGGAAGTGAAATGGTTGAAGAAATAGACCCTGAAGCTATTTAAGCAAAAATATATTTTTGAATAACTGATGGTGTCACTACGTCACCATGTCACCAGGTTAATTAACTTCTTTTAAAAATGATGACAACATGACATTTTGACAACACAGCAGGATTAATGCAAAAATGAATGTTATCGTTTATGTTATCGTTTATGTTATCGTTTATGTTATCGTTAATGTTATCGTTAATGTTATCGTTAATGTTATCGTTAATGTTATCAGTGTCGAACATAATTGACATGGAGCATTTATGTTATCGTTTATGTTATCGTTTATGTTATCGTTAATGTTATCAGTGTCGAACATAATTGACGTAGGATTCATGACTTCTTCGTAAATGAGTGTAAATATAGCACAAAAATATATTTTAGGTGAAGAGGTGAGATCTCACCCGTTTTTTCACCTCTTTTTTCACCTCATTCTCTCTTCGTTAATGTTGTCGTGACTTCATCATTAATGTTGTCGTGACTTCATTCTTCCTCTTTGAAGTTATCGAAATATTCTGTTATTTTTTCCTTCAGTAATGTTAAGTCTTCTTTGAATGTAAGTATTGTGCAACCTTTGATGTCATAGTGTGTTTGAGGAAGAGTATTTTTGACAATTTCCTTTATTTGCTCATTCGGTGTCATTGAAATCGGTAAGTTTTCACGATAGAACCAGTTTCTGTCAGATTTATATATTTTAGCTAAGTCATAAAAGCTCTTGTTGTTTCTTCTGACTAAATGCAACATAACCATATCTTTATCTTCTTCTTTCTCCAATTCTTCAGTATATATCATATACCTATAACTCTTTTCCTTTCCTTTTGGTACTGAACGCGGTATTCTTTTCTGTATGCTTTTGTCTTTGGATTCAATGACTTCATCTTTTGCTTTATATAGTTCATCTAACATCATGAAAATATAACAAGCATAACGAGGTGAAGCCCACATTGCTACAGCGTTTACTAAAAGTCTATGAACATAATAACCTTTCAAACAAGGAGCCAAATTCTTGCGATTTTCATACGGAATCTCTTCATTCTGCAAAGCAATTATATGAGGAAATTCTTCTAAAAGTTCTTTTGTCTGTTGGTTTTCAAACCAATGATATGCTTGCTTTGTAGAACGAAGAGCATTCATTATACTTTGCATTTGGTACATATCGTCTTTGACTGAACGAATGAGACGTAACTGTTTGTTATACTGTATGTACTCGTATTCTTCATTTATGGCTTCATGAACGATAGCAGTTGTTGTGTTCTCTGATGTTGACATTACTGTCTTTACATACAAGATAAAAATTTTTGTTAGGAAAAAATTAGCGTTATTTTCTGACTTTCACAAAAGACAAAAATAAACGCTTTACATGTATTTTTCAGCAACTTCGTCAAATAATTTTATAGCTTTATCTATCTCATCTACTTCAAACGTTTCTTTACCTTTTATGGGAGCACCATACATTTTCTCAAACTTTTCGAGTAGTTCTGTTTCTGCGGCTCTCATATCATTAACGAACACAACCTTGACTCTATTGACTGTACTGTCATATCTTTGAGTTATATTATATGTTCTTCCTATCTTATATCTCTTTGTATTGAAGTCCTTCGGTTTCTGAACGATGTAAAGTAAGCCTTCACTGCAACGTTCTGAGTCGAATGAACCATAAGTTATGAAGTTATATCCAACAACAGGGTCAATCCACAGAAGAATTATTGGTATAAGACTTTTGTCAATGAGATATGCTGTAGTTCCATAGAATCTTACCGATATCATGAGCTCAGGATTTCTTGTCAAAATTTTCTGAGTAGAAGCAATTCTAACCCAGTCCTTTGTTTTCTTTCCAGAAGGTGTTATAATGTCTGACAAAGAATATTTGTTGTATTTCTTACAGTATCTTACGTTTAAATCACCAATTCTAACCACTTTGGTGTCATTGTCAATCTTTCTTACTGTTTCAAACTCAATGTTTGACATTACTGTCTTTACATACAAGATAAAAAAATAAATAAAAATAAAACTAACTTTATTTTTATCTTTTATGAAAATTCATGAAATTTGGTCATTTTTCAGCAAAAATAATGTTTAGGTGAAGAGGTGAGATCTCACCCGTTTTCTCACCTTTTTCTCACCTGTTTTTTCACAAGCGTTTTACATGAATTGTACGATGTATATTTGAAATCCTAAACAATTTCGTAGCTTCTATTTCTTCTTTTAGTACATCGAATGTTTTAATCATGCCGAAAGTCTCTTTATATTTCTTCTTGACGTCAGACAGAAGGAAATCTTCTGCTGTTGGATAGTTTTTATTAAGAAATGTCAACATATCCATTTTATCTTCTGCTGGCTTTTCTGCTTCTTTCTTTAAGTCTGCATAGTCGTTTCGCATTCTTTCTATCTCTTTGACTGAGTAGTTATATATTTCCTCATTGCTGCTTTACATTTTGAACATTGCGGATTCATTTTTGCGTTATACATTGAAATAAAACCAGCTAGAACAACTAAGGCGTCAATGGTTTTCTTTAACTCAAAAGCTGCTGGTTTTATCTGTTCATTCCATACCTTACCTCTTCTATCTTTATCTCTTATCTGCCATACACATTTTGCAACTAATGAAACAAAGTTATCGTATGTCTTAAATTCTTCGGATTTGTAAAGGTCAGAAATATTTTTATAAACCATGTCGCAATCTTTGTCCATAACTTTATGGTTGCAATGATATCCTAGAAACTCATAGTTTACCTTTCGTATGAACTTCTTTATTTCTACCGAGTCAGTTGCTTTGACTTCAATTTCGTCAAATTCGGGAATGGTTAGTTTTTGTTGCTGAATTTCAGGTAGTTTAGGTAAATGGTCGATGAGGTCCTGCATGTCATAAAGATATTCTTCATTTTCTTCATCCTGTGCGGTACAGTCTAAATTACTTGTTAACAGTTCTTGCTTTATCTTCTGGATTTTTGTTTCGAAAGTATTATGAAGAAGGAATGAAGTTTTTCATTTCTACTAACATTGACGTAGGATTCATAACTAACGAGTTTGGTGCTGTTGTGGACAGAGTCCTGCCGTTCGCGCTTGAATTGCTGTTGTGCGATTGTTGAAATCAATATCTTTGCATAACAAATAAAAAAATAAATAAAAATAAAACTAACTTTATTTTTTCTATCTTAAGGAAATTCATGAAAATTCACGAGAACCAAAGGGTCTGAGCCGCTTAGCGGCGAGGGTGAGAAAACAGGTGAGAAAACGGGTGAGATTCACCTCTTCACCTAAAATATATTTTTGGTGTAAATTTATGACAAAAATAAATGGTACCATTAATGATATCATGACTGTTCTCATTCATGTCTGATTTACATCTAATGAAAAAGTTTAGAAGAATTTTCTTATTCTTTCTGGCTTATTTTTGTCTTTCCAGTACTCCCGCTCTAATGGTCCCAGATGTGTTGGCTTTGACTCTCTCAAGTTCTTAGATGGTATAACATCTTCAACGCCTCCTTCATATCTTACTTTATAAGTGTCATCGTTTATGTTGTAGCCAAGTATTTCAATAACCACTCCTCGCTTTGCTTCGTCAATGGTTTCAGCAAGTTTGCCATTACTACTTTCGACTAATTTATGTCGAGGGTAAAATGCAATGGAGTCGTCAGCAGCTTTTATAAGATATCCATTACCTTGCGTAGAGTCTACGATATAATAATTTCGACTTAACCTTAAACGTTTCTTTGTCAACGGTTTGTCGTCAAGAACTACACGAACTTTTGTACCAGGAATGAGAGTAAATTGTGTTGAATTTCTGATATTTTGTGTTTGGCTTCGTTTCTTTTGTATATACTTTTCTTCTTGTTGTTGTGTCATTGAATTTGGTGTATGGCCTGTTGTAGAATGCGTTGAGGAATTATATACTTCGAGAAAATGTTTCATTGTTTCTTCGGTAAAGTCTCGCTCTTGATTTAAATCTCTGAGCGTTCTTATGAAGCGGTTTATGATGCGAGTATGTTATGGTTATGGTCTTCAGTAGTGTAGTGAGTTATGTTATGCTTAATGAGAAATCTGTGATTTCATTGCTGAGATATGCACTGTCTTGGTCTGATGTTAAAGTACTTGGGCTATGTTCTGCTACAAACTTTTGTAAAACTCTTAACACTTCACGAGTTCCTTTATTCCTCATTGGATATGCATATGCTTTGCGAGTGTTAACATTAATGAAGATGAGGAATGGTTTATGTCCTCCTTTTCTGCTTTGAATGAGAGTGTCAAATTGGTATGCGTCAGGAGTGTTGGAGTAAATTGGTAAAAAGTAGTCGTAAGGGTTTATTTTTGTTTGATGTACAACATTTTTGTCAAAGAACCTTTTCACTTCAGCTCTGTTAGTAAATCCCCAACTCTTTGCAGCTTCATTGAACTTCTTAAATGACCTCCATGGATGTTGTTCGAATACTTCTTTCAAGCTCATTTATGTAAAGTTAAAGATTTTATTCAAGGCTCAAGCGCGTTCAATGAACTCTATACCATGCGAATACAGTCATAAATGGTGGCATATAATCTTCACCCGAGCCTGTTGGATTTGTTGTGAAAGTGTGTGAATGATTTCCTGTGGTTCCACAGAAAATACCTGCGCTTGAATCTACTGGGTCACTTGAAATATCATATCTATGCATTCCCTGTCTATCCGAACCTGCTGCAAGATTTGTATAACCTCTTTTTGTTATTGAATGTGAATGATTACCTGTTGTGTTTGTCGTTCCTGTATGAGTGTGTGGTGGAAGGTTTGCTTCTTTAATTTTCTTCGAACCTCCTGCCGTCTTTGAAGAGTTAGCACAGTATAAGAATTTGTCTACAATCTGCTTCCATTCACCAAAACCCAGAACTGTTTCTGGATTTGTTGAGTTCATTGACGTATAAATAGAACCAACAGGATATAATGTTTGAAGTATTTCAGTGTTTAATGTTTGAAGCTCTGTTTTGTCTGCTTTCTTATCATATAAATCTTGAGCAGTGAATTTAACATTATTTTCATCACCCATGACATAAACATTTTTACAGCTAATTTTTTTCTTCGTTGTTATGTTTTCATTCGATGTTAAACCTTGTGGAAAGTTAGGAGGTTTATAATATAATGCATCCCCATCAGTTCCGTCAACCGTTCCTTCAATAATTTCTATAGCAACAGTAGTGAAGGAGTTATGTGTATGTTCTTTGTCTGCTTTCTTATCTAACATTGCTGGTAGTTCATGTGTTTCAAAGTTTCTGACATGAACTTCAATGTTCATACATTTACTATTTAAGGAGTTTAGTGTATCTTTTACGCTTGTACTTGGATTCTCTAAAGGTGCACTTGAACCAAGGGTATAGTTCAATATTATGTCGTCTGCTCTAACAGTAGTGAAGGATTCATGTGTATGGTTCTTGTCAGCTTTACTATTTAATGTAGCTTGAAGTTCATTTATATCGGAGATATTGTGTTTATGAGATTTCAAAACTTTGTTCGTTGCGTCAAGTTCAACTTTGTCAGCTTTACTTTTAATAGCATCTTCAAAAGTTATTTTTGCCTTAACTCTCAATGTAAATCTTGGTTCAACTAATACACCTTTAACAGAGAAAGTAGAGGCATATATTTCATCGTTATAACTAAATGCTTCTTGTGCTTTACCTGTGTCATACTGTACAGTACAGCTTATGTCATAACCTTTAGCACGAATGTATTTATATCTTCTTTCATTAACATCTTCCGTCTTCACTTCTTCTTCAGTTCGTGTTAAATATCCATGGTAGTCCGTTATAATCTGTTCGTCTGAAGTTATATAATGAACGTGGTTCTTGACTTTATCACTCAGAGCTAAAAGTTCATTTTTGTCTGCTTTTTCGGCTAATTTCTCATTAACATCATTCACTTCTAATTCAACTCTTCCGCCAGAACTCTTATTATCATTAATCTTTTTCATTAATTCGGTAATTACGTCATAAAGACTATATTCTGTTTTCGGTTTTGTAAATAATGAGTCAAAATTTCTTTTCATCATTACATCGCTGACATTAATGATATCACCAATTCCTTTTTCATTTATTCTCTTCATTAATTCTGCAATAATGACGAATATATAATCTGTTAATTTATTCTCTTCATCGAGGGTTATAGAATGTTTTGAAATTGAATCATTAATTCCTCTAAATAAATCAATAACTTCAGGATACACGTTTTTAATGTCTCGAATAACCCGACCAGTATCCTGTTGTTCATGTTCTTCGTTCCCGTCGTTACGTGGTTTTATATCTCTAACCATCATCAACGCAGCCATAACCGGAGGGTTTGTTGCTACCTGTTCGAAAATCTGACCGTTATGTATGGTATATCTAAATAATTTCTTTGTGTTTGTTAAAACATTTGAAACAAGTCTTTTAAAACCATCTACAAAATTTCCTGTTTCACCTAATGTTCTTGCAGCATTTACAAGTTCACCCATTCCCGCTTTTGACCCCAAAAACGTCCATATTGCATTTATTTCACTCTGTATAGTTGTCCATTCAGCGAAACTAACACCCGCATTCGCTAAGCTGAAAATGAAATTCAGTGGATCGAACTTAATTCCACCTTCTTTTTCAATTTCAACGAACTCACTAACATGAGATTTTAAGTATTCTTTCGTTAAAATTGTTTTCCCCGATGTTATGTCATTAACGAAACTATCACCGTCAAAAGTTAACGAATTCAATTTCGTCGTTGATGCTTTTATTTCATACACCGCTTTATCGATAGTTTTTGGCTCACCTTCTTTAGAAGCATATGAAACATTAATGAATGAATTATATGTATTCGTGAATGAGTTAAAATCAATGATTTTCATTAATGACGCCTTTAATGATTCATTTACTGTTGAATCCCTTAAAGCAATTAATGAACTGTCATTTATGAAAGGTACACTGCAAACCGTCGAGTTTGGATCAAATGTTGTAGTTGGTGCAGGAATATTAATGATATAAGTCATTAAATCATTAAGTGACGTAAATAATGTTGTCGTTTTTGATTTAATTTCTTTAGCATCTGTTATATATGGTAATTTTATTTCTGTAGTTTCTGAATTAAAGATATTCGCTAAAATGGTTTGTAAACTGTTTTGAACAGCTGTGTAAACCGTTGAATCCGGAACTCTTACGATTTCACCGTCCTTAATAAAAGGCATTGCACATGGTGTAGTGCTTGGGTCAAATCTTTTTGGGTTATGATTCAACATATATTCTAATGCTTCATAAACAGACCTATATACGGTTGTATTATCTTTTTCAATAATTTCACCGTCCTTTATAAACGGCATAGTACATGGAGTTAAAATAGGGTCAAACTTTTCATAGTCCTTCCATGTTATGTATTTCTCAGTATTTCCATCAGTGATAACAATATATTTGTCAGTAAGTGTGAGAGAGTATTGACCAAAATATAAACGTTTAGCTCTGTCAGCTTCATACGCATATGCAGCTATACTCATATTTTAATGAGAATAAAATGTTGTTCTATTTGCAAAGTACAGACCCAAACGAATACGGGACAGTAAAGCTACAAACAAACTTAGGTCTACAGAATGAGGCGCTTGCATTCAGAATGGTTGACTTCAATACTATCGCTTCATTCGTTATAACAGATGAAACAGATTTCATGGAGATTGAAATAGATGGAAAGAAGCACGAAATAAGATTTCACAATAATGTAGAATATAAGATGGAAACATTAGCTGGAGTGTTAAATGCTCTCATAAATACTACAATAAACAAGGATAACGAAGAAAACTTAATGAATGTTAAACTTATTGCAGGAGTTTTGAAGTTCAGTTATGCGAAGGAGTTTAAGATACCAAGAATGAGTCATAGAGTACAACTTCTTTTGGGTGCATACCATATGACATTTCCTTTGAAAAGTGTTGACAAAACGATTGAGATGAAATCTGTTCCATACGTATGTTATGGCAACTGTTTGTACATTGAGTCAAAAATAGCTAATGTCACAGGTATTTCAGGAGTTAATAGTAAAGGTTCAGTAGAATATAAGTCTTTCTGTTATGCAGTCAATTCAATGTTCATTCCAAATGTTCCTGTCATAGCAACTCATTTAGGTAAATGGGTTCGCATTAGTCCTCATAATTTGAAAGACATGCAATTCAGACTTGTTGACTTTCAAGGAGAGCCTGTAGAACTGAAGGCACCAGTGCGAATGACTGTTGAAGTTGACTTTTTAGAAAATATTAAATGCAACAGCTTACAAGAGAACTCAGAGCTAAAAATATAAAGTATGAGTGTTATGTATTAGGTCATGAACTTTGGTTGTTGCTGTTTGATGAAACAAATGAGTTAGTTATGTCAGTCAAGAGAACAGAAAAATATTGTATTAGTGAAAACTGCACCAAGTCAATAAGATTAGGTTTGCATTATGAAGATGAGTTCGATACTGTTGAAGAAGTTTTGGATAGATATTACAAATTGCTTTAATTTACTAAAACATATTTCAAGCAAAGTTTATATTCTGTTGAAAGTTTTGTATATTCATTCGAATATTTATACTTAAACTCAACTCCTGTAGTTCCTGGTGTTTCAATGATGCGGATGTTACCTATTTTCATGAATAGTGGAGTTTGACCACAGCATTCGATTTCAGGGTCGAGATAGTCAATGACACATTGTTTCCCTGTTATTCGTGAGATAACATTTTCAAGGTCCTCCTTTGTTAGAATTATTTGGTTCTTGCTTATAAGATTTACCAAAAGCTTCTTATCGTCTTTGAGTAAAATTGTTTGGTATAACTGAAGAAGGTAATGGTCTACGTTATCTGAAGGATTTGTTTGAACATTTGTGTAAGGGTTGTCGTTGGCTTCTCTTGAAAGAATTTGGTCCAGTGGTGGATACTCTAACTTAACATCTGATGTAGCGTTAGCGTTTGAAGCTGAGTTTAAATTCACGGATTTCAGCTCTGGTTCTTTTTCTTTCAAACATTCTGAACTATAGTTCTTTATGACAATATTGTTTGTCGTTCGTGAGTCAACATTTGATGTTGGTTCAATTGGAACATTAACAGCACCAGCTAAGATGGATTTGCTTCTCATTTCATATAGAATAAAAACCTTTTATATGTATGAAATGAACAATATACTCGACAAGGGTTTGAATGTAAAGCTAACGAATGAAAATATTGTTGAATTCACTGAGACAGGAGCTGTGTATAAAGATGTAGAACTACTGAACAAAAGAGCTAAGGGAAGAAGCAGGAACATGAACAAAGGGTGGAAGCCTTATAAAAATTTATGTCAATGATGGCTCAGGAGGTTCAAACATAAAGTATGCAGAAAGTTATAGATTTTATGCTCTCAAAGGTGAAAAGCCTTCATTTAAGAACAGCTATTCTAACGCATATCCTCAAAAGCTAACGGATGGGGAAGTGGATGATATGAATGACAGCAAAAATATTAACAGAAATGGCGACAGAGATGCATTGGAATTTGTTTACCATCAGTCATTGAAGGTTAAGCTTAAAATAATGTTGGTCGTTCCCATGGAAATTTTTGACTTTAATGGTATTAGTCATGATATGAATCTCAAGGTATGAACAGGAGAGATGAGAGACTTATATGCTTCCCAAAATTTCTTCAAAAAGGTAATGTTATACCTGACTGTTTCCAAATGAGTTCAAATCATAACGTGAGAAACCTTGAAAGATAACGAAGTCAGTTATGAGACGTTTTATGTTTAAAGCTAAAAACCTCCATGTTTGCATAAGTATTGCTACAGTTAAGTGTAATGTCTGACTTTAGTAATGTGTTAGCTAATGGTGAGTCTGGTTTTGACACTAAACCTTTTCCGGCGAAGTCGTCACAAACTAATAAAGTGTTTGAAGGATATTTTTTGAAGGGGTATTTGAAAGTTTTGACAGAATGCAGTTTGTCAGTCCGTTTCATATCGTAAACTCCTGAGTATTGACGTAAGTGGTGTTTGTCAATAATTCTTTCCATCTCCTCAGAAGTCTTTTGCATTCCTGACTGTATAAAATCAACGATGGCATAATATTTCCTCTTACGTCGAATGTAACGTTGAAGAAATTCAATGAGTTCACTGTCTGGAACTTTAACGACAGAGGCTTGAACTTTTGACATAAATGTTTTCGCTGTTGAGTCCATAGAGTCTGAAGTTGCTGATATAATGATTTGGTCATAATATGAGTCATTTCCTAAACGTTCTGTTATGAGTATATGACGAATGAGGTTAAATGTCTTACCTGAACCCATCTTTCCACAATAGAAATACACACCATTTGAACAGAACTCATAATCTTTGCTGAAAGAAGAATAAGAGAAGAGTTAAGTTTGTCTGTAGTTTCATTCATGTCTTCATCTACGTCATGTATTAAATGCTTCATTTTATCTCCATTAAAAATGCAAGTCAGAAATATTCAGAACATAGCACCGAGTCTAACTGACAAGAGTATAAAGATATACTATGAACATGTTATGATGAAACCAACCAAAATTCAAGAAAGTCAGTATACTTATGAATATCCAAGACACTGGGTAGAGTATGTAGGAGGTGAGAAAGCTATTGAAATCAGACAGGTTCGAAGTATTCCAGCAGGAAGAACAATATTATTGAAGAACTTTAATGTTTTGAGGTATAATGATGAAACAAAGAAGCAAGATAGTTTTCCTGTTGCTGTGTATGTGAACTTAGATACAGGAGATGACATGAAAGTTTTTAACACAAAGCTTCAAACGGTAGTGAGAGAACAACTGACTGCGGAAGGACATCCATTACCTTCAGAAGTTACCATAGCATATAATTTTGAAAACAAACTCAATAAATTTTAAAGTCATCTCTGCAAAGAAGTCAGGTTTTACATTTAATGAAGCAGATGTATATTCGAATGAAAACTTCAAAGCTATTGCATGGTTAGATAATGACGATTGCTTTAAGAAAATATTTAAATACAGTGACTCAACGATGTCAATAGATGACCTTCGTGGAATGTTACCATCGACGTTTACAGTTGAAGGTTCAGCAGGATTGCTTACAAGATTGTCAATTGGTGGTATTTGGTCTCGTGAGAACATTGTTATAAATCCAGTATATAGTGAATTTGCTGAAGAATCTATATTATGTCTTTCAAACTACATGTATTCGCCGCCGAAGCATTATAGTATAACAAACTTTGTCAGTAAGTTTAACATAAGACTTGTCGAACCTTCTTCAATGAAAGATGTTGTGCTACCTAAAGATGGAAAGGATGGACTCATTATTGAGATGATTTTAATAGCATATTAAATGAGCTTGTTCTTGAAGGTCATTCATGATGAAATAACTGTTGTAGAAGATGTTAGCAATTGTTCAGACATTTTGAAGCGAATAGATAAGATAAGAAAGAAGTTAGATAGACCGCAAAGCGGTGAGGGCGAAGCCCGTGAGAACGCTTATGTTTCATTGACTTTCTTCCAGTAACGAGAACTTTTATGAGATAATATTGAAGAGAGATGATTTTAATATGGTGTAAATGGTAGCTTGGGCAGCTTTAGGCGCAATGGGAACAAAAGCATTAGCATTTGGAGCAAAAGCACTTGGAGCTTATGACGCAGTAAATAAAATGAGTGGAGGAAGGGTTTCGAAGAACATTAGATGCAAATAAAGGGAAGATTGGAGGCTGGGTTGCAAAGAAGTTAAGATTAAATAAAATAGGGCTCATAAAATAAAGCATCCAATTTGGTTGCGACTGAGTCAGAAAATGCTTTAGGAAAGGACGATGAGTTTGCAAAACACGCAAAAGACTTTAATGACCAGATGAAAGGTGAAACAATGCATTTAAATAGATTCGATGGAACTAAAGAAAATGTTTCTTCTCCACCAGTAGTTCTTCCGTATGGTCCCTATGGAATGTATGGAAACCCTTACGAAAGACCATTTTACCCATTGACTGGTGGAAGTAACTGGTATCATTACGGACGAAGAAGAAAGAGAGTCAAGTTGGAGACAGACGTGAAGAAAGCAACTAAAAAGAAACCAAGGAAGAGAGTTATAAAGCAATGAATTCAACAGGGTGAAAAAAGAGGTGAAAAACAGGTGAAATCTCACCTAAATTTATTTTTGTGCTATGTTTTCATACGTGTGAGGGTGGTGATATCATTAATTTTTAAGTTTATTTTTTATTTTTACTGAAAATTTTTATTTGGATGTAAATGACAGAACAAAAGCAACTCATTCGAATTCCACAGTATAACAAACATACATTTAAACATTTATTCTTCCTTCCTGAGCATAACATGTTCTTTCAAATACATCCGAGACCAGTTGACTTTTCATTGACTGTGTATAAAGATAGAAATAGTTATATCATTAAACCATACGATGACGAAGGTAAGTTATGTAAATTGTACGTTAAGAAGTTAGAGAAAGTTTATGGCTTCAAGTATGACTACAATAGGGTTAACACTGATGATGAAGATATTGAGGAAAATTTATG